AAAAAAAAACACACACAATCCGCGCGAAAATATCCTATATTACTTTAATCTTGCGAGAAATGCGATCTTCAAACGCATATATATAATTGCTAATTATTAGCAGCGGGGAGGTATATCAACTATTCTGCACTACACCACAACAGACAGACGTAGCTTCTGCTCAAAAAGTACTCAGATTTTGTAAATAAAACACACAAATTTAAATTTTATTCCAAATTTATTTTATCTCTTTCAAATAATGCTCCTTCTGAAGCGATACACATACATATCTTCCACATACTTTTCGTAGGCCCGTGAAGGTATGGCTTTTAGTTCCTTCAGCGAATTCTCTTTTACCGATTCAAGCGACTCAAAACGCTTACCGCGAAAGGGCAATATGAGTTTCGGGAACAGGAAAAAGTCGCACGGATCCAGATCTGGTGAATATGGTGCCAGAGCGATGACAGTGGTGCCGTGTTTGGTCAAAAAATCACGTACAATAAGAATTTTCTATAGTAAAAATCGCTAAATGCACTTAAGGTAGTTTCACATTAACAGCTGTTGTAAACAAACTAAATGACTGATGGCGCTCAAATTTGTACCATATGTCAAGAAAGGGTGTACCAACATAACAAAAATTTTTGAAAAAGGTCTATTACTTAAGGAGTAGTTAACAAACAACAAAATCCGGATACTTTTTAAGCAGATGGTACTATACATCTTATTTATACTTACGAAAACCTGGTTTGATTCGCTTTCTTTGGGACCATTGCAGTGCTTATGGGATTTGAAAGCGATTTTTAGACGTCGTTGTTCATTGGTTCTTTGACTCTAATCAATTATTATTAAAGAACTCTTCTTTGTTTGGGCTATTAATTTCTATTCCTGACATTTGAATACTGTTTTTTTTTTAAATCACACAATATTATCATATAATATAATCTACATAATTTTTCTAAAAATATAAAATTGTATTAATATACAAATGTTTCTTGTAATATTTAGATCTTAAACAAATACTATCTAAATATTTACCATCAGAAATTTTTTTTTATTTTTTATCTCTAAATAAAATTGTTGTTCTAGTTTATATGAAAACTAATACGGCAAATTTTTTTCTTTATTATTTTCTTATATCAAAGAATTGTTCTTATTTATTTTTTGGTGATCTAGAAATAACATCTCTGCATTCCATAAAAAAATAGTCGATATAAGCTGACATGCACTAAAAAACTTTATTAGCCTTCAGCGAATATTTTTAGGACAAAAATGCAATAAATTTTTAAAACCAAAAATGAATACAAAGAAGCTAAGAATGCCTTCTCAATATGCATTATTAAAATTCCCGATGTGTTTGACTTTTATGTGAGTTCATTATATCTATTTGCTATAGCCATGAATTATGTATCTCAAACGTATAAATTTTCATTTGATATTGAAAATGTTGCACCAAATTATAGAAATTTAGCTCAAAGATATATATTATGCATTCTTGTTGCTTGTGGCGCACACAATACCGTCATAAATTATACAAAATACTTAAGTGAAGAACAGAATGTATCCTCCTCCCAAATACACAACTAATTTCAATTTTAATTTTAGTTTAATACTTTTTCTTCAATATGCTATAGTCCAGAAATAGTTTATTAACGAATGTACTCGTTAATGTGATAGGTTGGCAGCAGAAAACTCCACTCTTGACATGTACTTTTGAAGATATATTTAAAAAAACATATCTAGAAGTATTTTCTAGTTAAAGATTATTTTAATGGAAAGTTTTGAAATACGTATATTTTATTGTCAGTAAAAATTAAATGTAATTTATTCATTAATTAAATTATTAAGAATTTAATGCATTGTTGCAATGTTATTTACATTAATTGATAATTAGTTTAACACGTGCGTATTAAAATTAATTGTAATTGACCTTATTGGAATGTATTTGATTTCTTGATTAGAATTCATTGACACAAATTTATTTACATTAAAAATTGATTACATATTTGTCATTTTTGGCGCTCTTTGGATAATAATGAACAATAAAACATTAATTCATTAATATTTGTTATAAATTACCATCGATTAGCATTTGGACTTTTAAACGTCATTAACTGTTGTTTTCATCATGTTTATCAATAAATAAAATTATAAACACATTTTTTGAATATCTTATTAATTTTAAGTCCATGCTTAATGTATATATTAACATTTCAAAGACCTTAAGAAATACAATAAAAAAAAGATAATAATAATTTTTAAAATTAGTAAACAAAAAATGTCATAACTTCTTAGAAAATGTCATAACTAATGTTGTTATTGTAGTTTATTATCTATATGATTTGTCATTTTCAATTTAAAATAGCTGTTTAAGGTAATTATTTTAATATATATCACCTTGTTATGTCCACAATGAGAAATTTTTGTAAAAATATGGTAGCTATACATATAATACAACATATCACATTAGAAAATTATATGGTAATTAAAGGAAACTAGCTTTTAAGCCAAATCTATTACTCCTGTTCACTACTTAAAATACTTATTCAAAGATATTCGACTACTAATACATTCTTTTATTTTCACATCCTATTAATCATCGAAAATGTATTAAGCAAAAGTATATATGGAAACACACATAACAGAGGTTTTTAAAAACTTATTTAAATTTTATAAGAAACTATTTAATTAAAAAAATCTATTAAATCTAGAGTGAAATGGTCCGAAATAATTTATTGAGATCTGACCGCCAAATGCAATTTGAATTCTAAAGGTAATGCGAACCCCAAATGTAGTGTGATCCCTTCTTGTACACACTTCTAATATTTTTATAACACCCTATTAAGCTTCCTTGCATTAACTGACCAAACGTATCCGCTTGTTTTTATATGCATAAGAATAACTTAAACTTATTGCCACAGAAGAGAGATCATTACAAACAACCGGTCTCAAAACTATGATAAACTAAGTCGACATATCCAAATGAGTTAATATTTAAATCATTAAATTATACTAACACAACATTTTGAAAAAGTTGAACAATTTATTATCTGTTATCTAAATCCTATCTGTCCATATCGGTGCGGATGGAAACACTAAGGAAGATATAATTTATAAACACAAGACTGTTAAATCACCTTTCGAAATAATTGTGCCGTTATAGTAAAGTAACAACTACTTATACTTTACTTTAATCACCAAATTATGTGAAATAATATCAAATACCTATTACTTTACAATATACAAGCAGTGTTAAAACTCTATCTGTAATTAAGCTATTTAAGTGTAAAAGTCAAATCATTTATTTCCGTTGATTAACCTATTAATGCCTGGCCTTCTTAACACAGCGTCTTTGAACCTATTTTATAAGTTTTATTGACATTAGATAGCTGTACAACTAATCGGTTCCTGAAGTCTTATCAGTTTTATATTGACCAATAAGACAGTCTTTCTGTGTCGTCATAAAAATGTCTTGGATGCTTCAAGGTAATAAGAAAACTATTTACTTTTGCTAGAAAAATGTCTACTCTACGCCGACCTGAACTAATACACAAGAATCAGTATTACTTTTTAGGGGTGTTTCAGCAGTACTAACACTAAATATCGTTCCAATGCTTCAACAAGATAATGTCACATACAAAGGACTTAGATAAATATTTTATATTGCGTAAATATTTAGAAACAAAAAAGTCCATATCTTCGTAAGCTTAAAAGATTTTCTACCTTTATCTTGAGCGAAGAGCTCAGTGAAAAATATAAAACCGGTCACTGTTAAGTTTGGACCAAGTAATTAGACAAAAACACATTTTGAGACATTATGTACACATTAACCCTTTATCCAGAAAACTTACTTCTATAAGTAAACAAGTGCGCCTAAAAAGATGAAACTGCCCATTATAAATCGAATTATTTTTTCCACTCTATCGATTTTGCTTACACTTTCTTCGCTTCTTTTCTAAACAACCTATATTTATTGAATATATATATATCTCTATATTATTCCTAACCAATTTCTGAATAAGTACAGATGTGTAAAATGAGAATTACTTATTGCAGTTAACTAAATAGTCTAAAGGTTACTAAATTTTAAAATATATAAGTAAGCAACTTTAGAGAGTTATTGTTATTTCCATGGATATCTCAAGGTCTCATCCCTCATCTCATTTTACATATCTTCTGGATGCGTACCATCACAAACTTGTTTCACAGAAAAAAAAACCAAATCATGCTGGCGAAGAGAATGGATGTCGATCGGGTCTATGCTGAAAAAATGGATAACAATGTTCCTAAATAAGCGCTACGGTGAAATTTTCTTAAACAAGTAGGTTATAGCGCTAAAAAATCGTGCCCATGTAAGATTTAATAGAAACCGTATTGAGATAACTTGATATAACCTAAAATGAACTTCCAGTCATAATTTAAAATTGTTTTCATTGATGAAAAGGTGTTATTGATGGCCTGTGCTTCAAAAAAGAGTTATAGAAATAGATTATTAAAAATACATACATATACGGGAGCAATTTAACACCTACCTACAATAGTATATGTTATTTATATACTAGAATTCATATAATATTCTACCTTAAGAGTTCTATAGATGTAATCGCTTAAAATGTATGCTCTGTACTCCTTAAAGAAATTCTTGTTAGAGAATTACTGTGATATGTAATATTAATAACAATAACAACAATGCGTCGTACTCGATTTTGAGCAACCTCTCTTACTGGGCATAGGCAATGCATAAGTCGTTTCAACCTTTCTCATAGCAGTGTCAAATTATTCGTCTAGTCACAGTAATTTTTTAATCTGCTCGGAGACTGTAAGATGGTATTTACTTTATTTTTAGTTGATCTTTTAATATTCTTATTATTATTGATACATGTAATATTGAACACTGAATTCATTTTGTGGTTAATACACTGCTATTATATAAAATTTTCTATAATCTGAATTTAGTTTTAAAGTATATGTAGTTAATCTTCAAAATAGATAAATTAAATCAAAGAATTTGTTTTTAATTACAGAACGTTGTCATTGCCGATGGTTCGGAGCAATATAAACGTTTCGTGAAACTCCCACAACCACTTACATTTAAAGTTTATATATTTAACGTGACAAACGCACATAAAATACAACAAGGTGCCATACCAATTGTAGAAGAGATTGGACCTTATGTCTACAAGTAAGTATCTTTAATAAATCACAACAACAGAAACTAATATTTATTAATTTTAGACAATATCGTCGAAAGAAAGTCAAACACTTCTCCCGTGATGGTTCGAAAATCACTTATGTACAAGACCAGCTATATTTATTTGATGAGGAAGCCTCTGCGCCATATACCGAATCAGATCAGATTGTGGCACTTAATATGCATATGAATGTGAGTTTCAAGAACTGTGGAAGTAGTCACAGACATATATCATTACTCACAATGTGTTCACCTACAAATACTTAAAATTTCAGGCATTTTTACAAGTTTTCGAAAGAGAAATTACTGATATCTTTCAGGGTTTCGCAAATAGAATTAATCACAGGCTGAATCGTACGCCAGGCGTACGCATATTGAAGCGCCTTATGGAACGTATACGTGGGAAACGTAAAGTAATTTTATCAAATAAAAATACTTTTTTGCATTCACATATATATTAATACAAAAACAAACTAACCCAAATCAGCAAAATATGAGATAAAATATTAATAAACCAAAAACTAGATTTAAACTAATTAAAATGCGGTTCAGCGTAGCAATCAAAGCGGTGACGACTTACACCATAACAACTACAAATAATTATTTCTGGTATCGAAATTATTAATAATAAATATTGACTTTTGTAAATTTATTAATATATCTTAACACGCATTCAGTCGGGCTTATGCATGAATTAGTGTGTAGTACTTTGGGTGAAAGATAATTCCAAACTAAAACTTAATTGCTTAATGTTATCTACATATTTACACATTTTGGAATCTATTGCTTAATTATTTATTGTATCTGCAGTTTCAATAAGATAGTAAAATTATTTGCAGATCTCTGTAAAGGCAGACCTTTTGCTTCACAGCACGACATTGCCAAATTTTGAATTAACCTATGAATATTGTACAAATTTAATAGTACAATTTACTTTTATTTATGTATATTGAACTGGTAGTGGGCATCATTTTTAACCTATTTATTTCTATTTATTAATTTTCAATTATTTTACACTTCACCGAGCTGAAGTACCAATTTTTTGTAAATAGAGCAGAGCCTAAATGAATACATACGTACGCGTATCTAATGTCTAATAATATCTGCTACATATTAAACAATCGAATAAATTTAATTTTGGTAATATAAAATTATAATTTTTGAATCAATGAATGTAAACTTTTGAATTTTATATTAAAATGTCAAGGTTAAAATTTTACATGAAATTAAAAATTAAATATTGAATGCAAAAAGTAATACGAAAATATTACAGATACAAAACAAACAAAAAAAATTAAACATCAACTAATAAAATAGTTTATAAAAAATTAATTTCATATCATCAGCAATATTTAAAAATTAAAAATAGTTTTATAATTTAAATTAATAATTAAATAAATTAAAAATTTCTATTTATAATGCTAAATAGAAGTATATTTTAAAATTTGGAAATTAAGAAGGAATATGGTTTTAGTAAATTAGATAAGATTATTATTTATAAAATTCAATTTTTTAAACTTGCTTTAAGGATATTATATATACATATTTTAAAATTTAATTAAAACACTTAAAACGCTTCTATTAAATATTTACTAAACTTTGAATTTTTTTTTAAACCTGATTTTTTTAATAAAGTTTTTTATATATTTTCTATCTGGCTATAGGTCACTTTTTATTAAAATTAAAATTAAACGTTATTTTAATATTTTTCAAAATGTTATATATTTCGACTCTCCTTTGGAGTCATCATCAGGATCATGATCTAATAATTGTAATTATCTTGTTAGATCATGACCCTGATGATGACTTTCAAGGAGAGTTCATATTAAGTGCGTTTAATTTTAATTTTTACAAAAAGTGACCTATAGCCAGATAGAAAATATATAAAAAAACATTAAATATTTACTTTAAATAGTTAATTTAACTTTTTTTTCTATTATTATTGACTTACTCCTTTCAAATGCCGCTTAAGCCTTTCAGCGGTTTTTCAAGCATTTACTAGCTTGATATAGTGTGCGCTGATTGGAATTTCCAATGTTTTATGCGCCGAAAATTACGTTTCACCACAATGATAGCTAGTTTAATCCGTAATTTTGCTTTGATTGATTTTCTTGATTGTCTTTGATTCCCAATTACTTTCATAAATTTTACAATCTGAAAAGAAGTTAATCCTTAAACTCGAAGCAGTTTTATATGTTAATGTGTAGATCTAAAAAAAATCAAAATTATTATTAGAGCTTAGGTATACGCCTAGCTAGCATGTTTAAAAATATTTGCATTTACTAATATAATATGATTCTTGATTTTTCACATTATGAATTTAGTTTACGGATTCACATTATAATTATTTAATCCTTATTTTTTTTATTTGGTTAATTAATTTTATTAATTTAATTTTAGTTTTTTAAATAAAAAATATACAAAATATTTTATAAAACGCATAGAATATAAAATATTAAGACTAAATTATATAAAAGGATGCATATTCTCAGACAAGACTATACAAAACCAATATAATACTCCATAACCAATAAATCTGATTTACTTAAATATAGTTTATCACCATTATATATTGGTTGATGATAAAATAGAGTAAATATGCATGGTGTTCTATTGATTTAGTATCCATATAATTGATATTACTACAATAACGACTTTAATTTTATGCTTAAGTACTTATTAGCAAAATTAATTTGAAAAGAAAATTGGAAATATTTAGCAACGGAAACACATAATAAGCATAAAACTGAAGCCTTTCTTATGTTTTTTAAAATCAGTTCTAATCTATTATATCTTATTAACTAACTTTCTAGAACCCTATAAGTGGTTGCACAATATCTTTGTGACCATAATTAACGGTGTAAATGTAAGTTAAAAACTAACAAAAAGACCAAGAATCAAAAGCTTTCGGCAATTCATACTCCGCTTAAAAATTCTCTTGTAAAAATATCTAATGCAATCGTTCATCAAAATCAGAATATTTAATTAGTTTTTCCAAACCGATGTAAAAAAGTCATTAGGATTCACTTGTCAGAACTGTCATTTCTCAAACTAATCACTATAATAAAATTGGCAAAACTAATAAAAGTAATTAGAGATTCATTTGTTTAGCAATTGTAATTTAATTAAAATTGAAGTCATGTTTTGATTGGCGTTTAGATAAATGCTTGAAGGTGTAAATAATTAACTGCAAATCGATTATTGCATTCATATGCTATGCTTGTGCTTTGAAAAAAAAATTTTATTTAATTTTATACATTATTCTAAAATCTATTTGTTTGCATTTACAGTCTGTGCTGCAGATTAGCGAAAACGATCCTGGCTTATCACTGCTGCTAGTGCATTTGAATGCTAATATCAAGGCGGTCTTCAATGACCCACGTTCGATGTTTGTAACAACAACTGTGCGCGAGTATCTTTTCGATGGTGTGCGGTTTTGCATAAATCCGAATGGTATAGCTAAGGCCATTTGCAATCAAATCAAGGAGAGCGGCTCAAAGACTATACGTGAGTTGAACGATGGCAGTTTGGCGTTTTCATTTTTTAATCACGTAAGTTGAACAACTGGAAATCTATAAATAAAACATATTATATTGAAGTTTGTTTTTTTTTCTACAGAAAAATGGTTCTGGACATGATGTATATGAGGTACATACGGGCAAAGGTGATGCAAGTCGCGTGCTTGAAATACAAAAACTGGATGATTCACATAATTTACAGGTGTGGTTGAATAATACTGATGGTGAAACGTCGATGTGTAATCAAATCAACGGCACCGATGCATCTTCGTATCCTCCTTTTCGTCAACGTGGTGATTCAATGTATATTTTCAGTGCAGATATATGTCGCTCCGTTCAGCTATTCTATCAATCTGATATACAATATCAAGGTATACCTGGTTTTCGTTATTCGATTGGCGAGAATTTCATAAATGATATTGGCCCAGAACATGATAATGAGTGCTTTTGTGTTGATAAGCTCGCAAATGTAATAAAACGAAAGAATGGTTGCCTATACGCAGGAGCATTAGATCTCACAACTTGTTTAGGTGAGTAGTTATTGAAATATATTAAGATTAATATTAACTAAAATACATTTTGTAACTACTGATATTGGATTTTGGGATTTAGTTTTTCGATTAAAATATCAGGTATACACACATGTATTCTTAGTGATGCCCATTGCAAACAATGCTCATAGAGCCGCGAAAGGACTAAGGTCAATCATACATTTTCATGATGTGTTAAATTTTAAATATAAAACGGATCTAATTACTTTTCTTTAGAAAAATTTGAAAAAACTTTAATAATGTTAATAAAATGAAAATATATAATTTCCATGATTAATATTATGCCGTCTAAATCTAGAATTGGCTGACGAGTTATACTCATTGCAAAGACTCTTCCGCACTTTCTGAAAACTGTTTTCAAAAAAAGTTTAGACACTTACTATAGTTAACTCATCCTCGCAGAAACTGCTTTTCATTTTCAATTAATTACAACTGTCATAATTTTAAATATTTTAATACATACTAAAATAGATAAATTAAGTTGTTTAATTGGAAGTCGAAATATATGATTAATTTTCAAATAAAGCTAATCCGATTGATGTTATTGAGTCAACAATTAACTTTCAACATTTATTTGATTTTAATTTAAGTAGTTAGACTTCATTGAAGCTTAGAACCGCATTAAATTATTAAGTGGAATCTCGCATATTAAACTAAGCCTTTAAATGCATAGAAAATATTGATTAATGAATTGTAATTGCAATTTCACATGCGGTATTGTGAGGTTAGATATTATTTAATATTTCATAGCATGTATATAAAATTGTTCTTGAAATTTATACTCTTTGCTGACAAAAACTGTTTCATCAAAGATTTTACCTAATATAATATTTTGTAGAGACCGGAATACACAGTCATCAGAAGGTGCCAGATGCGAAAAATATATTGGATGTGGCAATATATTCTATCGAAACCAAACTTTTGTAGTATATCACATTACCTTCCTGAAACACTACACTTTTTCTACTGATCAATTCTGGCCTTTTTTGTTTAAGTGATTCATTTAATTTGTCCAGCTGATGGCAGTTCAATCATTCAATCATTGTGGTATACTATAGAAAGAAAACAATTCTTCTGAAATCTTACTATTCCTTTTTTTAACAATATCGACTTTTGATTTACTTTGAATTGGTTCATCTTTATTAATCTATGATTTCTTACATCTAAAATTATTGCATCCCGCCCATTTCATCTCCACTCTGTTCTTGCGCCATTTATGCATCATTTTTTAGATGTTTAAGAACCATTATACGAACTTCAACTCAACGGCACTATTTTTTTTCCGTGCGAACATGAAAAACGCTCATGATGATCTTTAAAATTATGTTTAAACATACAAATGATCATCTAAGTTCGTTCGATTAAATTAACTTACTTCCTCGTTTCTTTTTATACTACTATGAACCGCCATCTAACACTTAGAAATCTAGGAATTTTTTTTAGCTCTGTTCAGTACTTTTATACATACAAAAACATATAAATGACTTATTACTAAAAGATACCTAAATTACTTGCTACTAATTTCAAATAAAACACCACCTGGTTTTAAATAGAAGTGTCTGTGAAATTTTAATAGCGTCATAGGCATTAAAGCAGGTGCCCTTACATATAAGGTGTAGCTTTTAAGTGATAATTTTTATCACAAATTCAATACTTTCAAAAAATTAAATTAAGTATCTTTCTAAACGAAGCCGTTTAACATAATATTTAGTAGCAAAGGTGTTATTCAAACTTTATTTGGAATATGATACAATTTGAATAACCGAAAATGTTTTTTGGATGAAATAATACCAATTCCGAATATATTTAAAAAGTTTGAACAATTCGAATATACGAATTTCCATGTTTGCTATAGAACCTGTTATTGATATTGAACCTGCTGTTAATCTTAATGTTGATTTATTTATAATTCTCATTAGCTTTGAAGTTAATAAAATTAGGGTAGATTCAATTGGAGATATCTTAAAATTATTTCATTAATAATAATATATCATATGTTAATATTATATTATACATCAAAAGATATTTCCAAATATGTGTCCAACGAAATACCATCCTGTTAGGTATATTTGAACACTCGCATATACTTCAAAAAGGAAGAATGTCTCTAATGTAAAATAGATTTAAATAAGTTTATAATAAATAATGTGGTGTGTAAAATAAACTTTGTTGAAAGTATTCCCATAATCATTTAGCACATTTAGAAGAAATTATGAAGTGAAAAATGATTAAAACGGCCTATGTGTGTGGCATAGATATTAAACATTAATTATTTTGTTTAGGTAAAAACATTTATTACTCATCCTTTTTTGTTACTCATCATATAAACTTAATTAAAAACAAATATTTGTTTTTTAAAAAATTAGTTATGGACACGCAGAGAATGGATAAAATATGGCATTTTCATGCAAATTTATACAACCACTTAACCAATCAGTAATTAGTAATTTTTATTAGCTAAATTGCAAATACATAAAGTTTTAAATCAGTTGAATTATTGCAAACTATTTCTGTAAAAAATGCCGTCAATTTTTTTTCTTGAGATATTTCACACATGTGTTGAAATGACTAAACCAAGTATTAAAATTTGAACTATAAAATGATTTCATTTTATTATATATTTATTTATTCCGCAATCTGTCAACAAAACTATAAAAATTCGCACCTGAAAAATAAAATATTTATGCGTTTTTTACATTAAAATTATGTTTCGAAAATTCAGAAAATATTCTATAAAACATGAAATGGAAGAAAACTATTTAAAAACTGGATATTTTTAAACTTGAATGATGAATTCCAAGAATAAAAACCTATAAAAATTAACACTTTTTTAATAAAATTTAGTTAATGAATTGGTTTGCAAAGTAATGCAAATTTCTAAGAATTTTTTCCATCACATTTCTTACAGAATTAATCACTTATTATTAATTTGGAAAAAAATTACTGAAAAAATTGTAAGCAGCAATTATTAGTAAGATTAAATTCTGTAATTAGTAGTTAATCATAATTCAATTTTAAAATAAAATGTTATGAAGTCTCAGGCTTCTTTTCTAAGTCTCAGAAATTTGTGATTAAAAAAAATTCTCAAAATTATAACCTTCCACGGCTACTCTGGTTAACATATAGAGCTGGTCCAAAGTAGAATATAGAGAGCGATTAAAATCTTTAGAGCAAAATATTTGGATTCTACTTACAACCATATTATGCAAAAACAATGATCGAATAATATAATTTCTAAATATTTCCATACATTATCTTCTAATATATAATAAGATTGTTTTAAATAAGTAATACATAATGTAGAACCATTCTAAGACAATCATTTAATGTTATGTATATGCATATTATTAAAATGATTCTACAAATAATAGTATTTAAAGAAAACAACTATTAATAACAGTTAAGTAAAGTTATATAGCTGTTGTTTATTCGTTAATTCAAAAAACAGCTCAACTAGTGCTGTTGTTGTTTACAACTGAACAAAAAGTATTGAAAAAATTGAAAATTTGATTAACGCCCTAGATGCTTTTTGGTTTATAAACATTTGTTGGCAGTTTTACTAAGCAAAAAATAAACCTCATAACTGATATATATTCAATTGAAGATAACATCACTATTTTTGTAGTAACTTTTCACAATTTTAACACGTTCAATGGATGTTATAAGTTTAATATTGTAGAATGACAAACTGTAAACTGAATAAATAATCACTTTAATGATAGTACTGTAAGTAATATGTCACTAAAATAGTGCTGCTAAAGCCGAACTAGGAAATGGAAAACTTTTTATCACATATGTGACAGTACATTACCTTATGATTGTGGTCAAATAGTTTAAGTAAGTTTATAAATGCATTAAAATTAGACCTTCGTTATAACTATAAAACAATTTCCATAGTCAATGCATCACCGAATACCCCCTTTCCTATAATATAATAGTAATATAAAACAAAATGGAAAATTATTGTATGAACAAAATACAGTTAAAGTTCCATAACTCGAACTTTTATAACTCGAATTTTCTACACCTCGAACTAAACAGAGTGCAGCAGGGTTTAAAGAGCAAAAACATACAATTACAAAAAATTTTTTTGCTCAAAGTCTCCATAAGTCCAATCTTTTCTTTGCGAAATGGTAATTCGAGTAATAATAGTATGATTACAATATATACAATTATTATTATTATTTATTTTTTCTAACAAAACTATAAATAATTGAGTAAGTAAATAAAAAATCTTAACATTTATAAAAATTTATAAAAATCCCCAAGATTTCCTAGTTTTTATTCACGATTTCACATGTGCAACAAAACGTTTAACACATATGATATCAGTTTGGTAATCCTCAACTGCGCGAAGTCTGGTATTAATCGACACTCTACCAACCTCTCCTTAATCCGCTATCTTGAATATTTCGTAAACAAATATGAATTAACAAATCTTCATCAACACAATCTCACTTTAATCCGCTTTGACCAATATTTCCTAACTGTATGAACATCTCTTTTGCTTTCCGTTCACAAACTTCATATACACTCAAGTTAAATATTTTTATATAAATATATAATATATGTTATATTTTATACATTTGAATATATCCAAAAATATTTATTTTCCTCTTTTCGTCTTTTTTCTAAGTACAAATTATTACTTTAATATGTTATTGAATTCTTTCTCATTTAATATCTTTATAGTTTAAGATCATTATTATGGTAGATAGTTTTATAGTCGATTAAAACTTGACCTATCCAACGTGAAACATCATCAATGAAATTTCAAAAACTAATAAATGCATTTTTTTGAATTTTTATATGTGTTTGACCATAAAATTTTATATTTTTCAAGCAATATTTATGTTTCAAAATTAGCATGAAATCATAAATTCATGTATAAAATTTAATAGAATATGCAAAAAAAAGGTTTGATATGTTATGAAAAAATCGAATAAAGAAATTTAACCCATCAACGCAGCTGGCATTGA